ACCCAAACTCGTACTCAAACTCAATACCCAAACCCAAACTCAAACCCAAATTCAATATCCATACCCAAACTCGAATACCTATACCCAAAATCAATACCCAAACCCAAACTCGAATACCCATGTTCAAACCCAAACCCAAACCCAAACCCAAACTCAAATACCCAAACTCACCAAATCCAAACCGTTTGGGTTTGGTGCATGCCTACCCACACCCACACCCACACCCTACTGGCAATCATATCTATTAATTAAGAACAGATGGATGAAAAAGTATACATCCATTGTTATGAGCATATCGTAGCCCATTTGCATTCTTCCGACTAAACTTTCCCTATATAGTTGATTATGCGAAATACATTCGCTAGAAATATCTCAATGTGATCAAGGATGCCAATACTAATGAATAATTAGAAAATTTCTCATTCGTTCTCCTTTCCACCACAATCGTTCAAGTGAAAAATAGTTTGCTAACCTAAGGTGACAATCGATCTTAATCACGATTAGTTTTTTGATGAATGCGGCTATGTTTAAATGGACTTTATTGTAATTTAGACCCAAGGATCAGGAAAAATTCAAAACCATATTTCATTCAGCATTCATTTTCAGCTTTGTTTCACTATTAAATCAAACTCAGTTTGTGAAGAAAGATAGGGTTAACCACAACTTGCGCGAAATGACAAACACTAGAGCATTCTGCGAAAAGGTGTACAGTAAAAAATTCCTAACTTATAATTTTTAATAAACAACTTGGTTTTAATGAAATCTGTCTTAACAAAAGAAAATTTCAGATCTCACCTCAAGCTGCTCATATTCAAGAATTTTCTTTACGTGTGTGCATCAAAATAATAGAGCGTTTTAATTCTTGACTTTCAAGAGAAAGAAAGCTGTAATATATCTGATTAATTGGGAATGATTTTGTCGTTTTAATTCAACACCCTCTGTTGCTTGAAAGTTTACTGCAAGATATAACAGCACATCATGGTCGTTCAATGACATCTACAAAGTCATCAACGGCAGATAATCATTCAAATAAAGAAGGCATTTTGTGCACATGTCTTATCAGCAACATAAACATGAACAAACAACATGGATATGGCAAACAAAGCATCTTTATCATTCTCTTCTTTTGAAGCCTTTTTTATATTCGAGTGTGTTCGCTGCAAGTTTGCGTTGATGAAGATCGATAAGAATGCAACAGTCGGCATATTTCTCAGTTGAGGACTAGTAGTCTCTGTATGCATTATTTTTAGCATTCCGCTTAAAGTGCCTGATAATAAGAGCAATGTCAATTCGATGGAGATTCTAAACGAGCTGGCCTCTAAATATAGTGAAAAATTGTTCAGATTTGCGATAATAGCCCGGCTGAAATCGTTTAAAACAATTGTAGCATTTTTCACTACCATGTTTTGAAAAATACGATATTTAACTAGCATGAAAGCGGTTATAGAGCGAGAAAATCGGATTCACTAATACAGAAAGCAAGATCGTTGAACACTTTTCATCGTTCTAGTCTACAGACCTGTTGCAAGCTGTGACACATGTGAGGAAATTTTTCTCTTTTAGTTTAACATGGCTAGGGATAGTCTGATTCGACAGCTTGACTATCTATCGAATCTCTACCAGATATCACTCAAGCCATATCTCGCTATCAGAGTACTTTATGTTATATGGATGGATATCTTGGAAGAGACATATGTTTGAGATTGTCAATTTCTTAAGGGTGAAGTCGCATGACTTGTGCTGTCACGTTTTGTATCAGTAATAGCACACTGCTCCTATGTTCGATCCTTTCAGAAGTTTTGACTGCCATGAGTACAACGATCGGTTCTCGTTTCTCTAAAACTGGTTCTGGCATGGAGGTTCGCGAAAAGGGTGCACAACCTCGATATCCTGCATGTCGACCAGTATTTCCTGCCAATTTACAACATGTGATGCAAGTCTTGTACACATTTCAAGTTAAAGAAAACTCTTTTCCCATTCATCTACTTCGAAAAGTGCGCGATTCTTTCACCATAGTCTCAGAATCGAAACCGCTGCGTGTGAACTCATTTGCACTCATTTCAGACGGTTATGGCTGTTATAACAAAACATTCATCGTCTATTGGGATGATCAAAACAAGTACAAATCTTGGAGCACAATAGCAGAGAACAGCTGGAATAATGGTGATGAGTTTGTGAACGGTGATGTCGGATTCATCAGAGAAGAAATGCTCTTGCCATTGAATACTTTTGAATATCTCATTTCTGGCCCACCTGGTTTTCAAGGTAATACTCCCATGTTAGCTGGTGAATATCCGCATGAACTCGAAAGCTGTTACGATTATTTAGGCAGTATGAGAGATCGTCTGAAATTGTCAGAACAGAAGTCGTTAGATACCGACATAGAGAAATTGAGTTTACACGAGGGTTTGGTGACGATAGGGAAAAAAATTCAAGTATGTCCAACTGATAACATTTGTCTCATCAATAGCGGACAAAATCTTATAGGCTGTGATGAAGAAGAGAAGTACATATATTACAGCAAAGTAGAACCTGTTCTCAAAAAGGGAATTGCATTCTTACATGAGAAATCAATAGACATGCATTGCATATCGTCGTATCTTTTGAATCACGTTAATGATCAAGATCAACCAATCAACATGACAGTATCACATATATATTTTACTAGCATGGCTCATTTGGAAAACTGGGCTTGGAATCACTCTACACATGGCGCGATCTACTATACGTTTTTGAAGGAAATGGTTCCGCGAGGTGAGAAAAGCCAGATCAAATTATGGCATCAAGTAAACGTGTTACCAAAAGATAATTTAAAATTATTATATGTCAATGTGCATAATCAGACAGGATTTTTGAGATACTCGAATTTTGATCACCACATATTGTAACGAAGAATTCATATTTCTTTTGCTTTTATTTTACTCGTTTAATACATAAAAAAATTACTTGATTAAAACTCTTGACATTCCATCATCTGGAGCATGTGTTGATTTTCAATTAGATATCCTATTTGACTTTATCGAAAATCCAAATGAATTTCTAAAGCACCCTCTCGTTTTCTACTTGAGGGTGTGGCTGTGGCTGTGGCTGTAGCTGGATGGGTGTGGGTGTGAGGTGTGAAGGTAATGGTAATTGAAAGATCCACACCCCACCCACACCCACATCAAGCAAAAGATTTCTCGTACATTTTATATATGCTTCTGCTTATTTTTCTCGTTTTTTTTCAGACAAAATAGAGTATGCATTCTTTTTCTAATTCATTCAGCTCGTGTTCACTAAATTCGAAAACTCACTCTGTTAAAAAAAATGTGCATGCATTTGCGAATATTTTTCTCCCGTGACCTTCGCGCGTATCGAACCAGTGCTTTCAATCTATTCGCTCCACAGATCGAGTGCACTCTGAACAATGTTCGTCGTAGAGATGTTTTTTCCTTTTTTTTCGCTCTCTCTATTCAGCCTATTTGACCATTGAGCATAGAAAGGGTGTGGGTGTGGGTGTGGGTGTGTGGGGTGTGAGTGTGGGGTGTGGGTGTGGAGATGTTGGATGCGAGATGAATGTTGATTCCTCTTTAGCGACACGCACACCCACACCCATCTAATGTTTGCTTTAATAGTAGGGACCCATGAAAGACCCTGTGAAACAACATATAAAAAATTTTGTCATCGCCGCTGCCGCCGCCGAAAATCGTCTCCTTGGCGAGAGCGCCTCGCCGCCGCCGCCGCCGATGCACGAGAACTTTTCCCCGCTGCCGCTGATCAAATGATCGGCTAACACCTCTACCCACACCCACACTCACACCCAAAAGTGGCCCAGATGCTTCTGGTCTAGTCTTGAAGTAAAAAATATATTCATGTTCGAATCAGCTGCGCTGCAGTAATGCGCTTATGAAAAATTGTGCTCGTACCTCATTACTCATCATTTCATCAACTCACTATACAGTCACTCTGTATTTTGAAGAAAATATCAATTTGCGCTATAGTCGCCTGAGAAAGGCAAAATGTGGCTGTAATTAGGACAATTGCACTGTTATTAGCATTTATAGGCATGTTCTAGTGGGAACGCTAAAGGTAGGCTGGAATGGGCTCAACCCACTCAGAACTTTATATAAATAAAAGAGAATCGAGGGTCCGCGTAAGCTTGGGTGGGCTCAGCGTATCCTGGCCATGGCTGTGAGGGGTTGAGCCCACCCTAGTGAAAAACCTGGCGTCGCCACGAGTGTTCTGCAGCGAACTACCCAGTAGAATGATAATCAAGCGTTGAAACGCGATACATCATCAATTTTCCACGATAGTTCCTTTGATAGTAATGATAGATCGCCGTTTTCCACCTGATTTCAACGAAGAAAGCCTAGTTTACGAAGAGAGCTCCCGAACGTGAAGCTGACAAGGAAACTTCTCCAGAGTATACGCTCTTCGCTATTGGATTTCAAATGCTTCAACGAGCTCACTAAGGGAACAAGTCAACCATTCTTCGCCTGAACAGCGACTCGTACTCGATTTCTCGCGTCAGCTCTAGATAGATGTACTTTCGAAAAATAATTCCGTCGAGTTACTTACACTTAAAACGACCAGTTTTTCTGCGTTCTATCGCGGTGTGACTTATCATTGAACTTTGTCATCGGTAATTCACTATTGTAATGCATAAAAGGTTGAAGCATTTTACTTCTTTATATCACTTTTCATTGGTTTCATTAGGCGCGGATAGTTTATTAAAGTTCTGCAATAGATCGATGGAATATGTTTTGATTTTTAGCAGGTAGAAACCCTCCTATCTAATGATAGCGTTATTGCAAGGGATAATGAATCAACATTAATTAAGTAAACAGCGTATACCCTAAGCTACTACGAAGCATACAGTATTGGTTGTTAGTCTCATATTGAACACCTTTACTTTGATGATCGTTTCTACGAATCATCGGCTGGAGTCCACTTATCGGATACAGGATCATAGAGTTCTGCAAATGGTTCACCAAGTTCACCGCCAGTAACTAGCACTTTTCCAGACGGTAATAATGTGGCTGTGTGTCCTGCACGCCCCTGTGACATACTTGCAACCTCTGTCCAGTTTTTAGTAAGAGGATCGTACACTTCACAACTATTCAGAAAATCGAGGAGTTTATGCCAAGCACCACCGGTCACCAGTACTTTTCCTGAAGGTAATAGAGTGGCAGTGTGTGCAGCACGTTCGGAGGACATCTCGGCTGCTGCAGTCCATTTATTCGTATGAGGATCGTAAATTTCACAGCTAGACCAGAATTCGAATATAGGACTAATACCACCCGCCACTAGGACCTTTCCTGTTGATAATAGAATTGCAGTGTGACTGATACGTGTTACTGACATCTTTGCAGCACTGATCCATTTGTTCGATTGAGGATTATATATTTCACAAGTAGAAGGATCATTCTCACCACCCCCTGCTACCAGTATATGACCAGATGGTAATAAAGTAGTTGTATGTAATGCTCGAGATATGTTCATATTAGCAGCGGAAGTCCAATTATTTCCGGAGGCATTGTAAATTTCACAGCTAGATACAATGTCACCGCCTGAAAGTCCACCTATAACTAAAACATTGCCAGATGATAATAATGTGGCAGTATGTCCAGCACGTGCAGCGGACATATTGGGGGCCTCGATCCACTTGTCCGACTTATAATCGTACAGTTCACACCGTGATATGCTCAATGGTATTATAGATTTCGATGAAACGCCTCCTGCAACCAGTGTTCGTCCTGATCGTAATAAAGTAGTAGTGTGAGCCGCACGCCCTGTCGACATACTGGAACGGTCAGACCATTTATTGGTTTGACTGTCGTAGGCCCAACAATCTTCTATGAAATCAGGGCCGGTATAACCGCCGGCTATCAACACTTGTTTAGACGGTAGCAATGATGCGCTGTGCGCAACAAGAAATAGTGGAAAGTCAGAGACCGACGTGGAGCTATATTTTGGCATCGAAGTCATTGCCATGTGTATATCCAGAGCTAGAAGAAATTAAGACGCTCTTGTATTTTAGGAAATACAGTTCACCGCCAAAACTTTTCAAACAAATTGGCCAATTTAATAGCAAACTTTAACCCAGGTCGCAATTTCGAACTGATCATGACTGAAAAACAAATTCTCAATTATCATTTTCAGATAAGCAGACTCACTCTCATTTTAAACCAATGGCAGTTCAGAGAAACAGAGTTGCAATCAATCTAGTGAAGATTCATTCTTTCAAAATTTGGAATGTATGCTACTTCATTAGCTGGCTGAGTTAATTATGAAAGCAATATGTGTAACAAAGTAAGAATACAATGAGAACTTTGACGAATTTAAATCAGTAGAAACCTAAAGTCTTTTCTGAAAGATGTAGAATTGAATTCAAGTTTGTTGCAAATCGACCCTACTCGAATTCAGAGTCAAACAGAATCCTAGTGTATGGCTTAGCGTATCCGCAATAGAAAAGCCATTCGCCTTAGTCGAACTTGACTTGCTCTCATCTGAGCCATCGCTTGTAAATAATGTTTCCTACCATAAAAAATATACAGTCTTACCATTGCAGAATTTGGATCCAGAGCCGATGAATTGCGACCCACAATCTTTTGTGTCTATTGATGCGATGACACGTCCACGGTAGCCCCCACAATCAGAACGCTTCAAAATCCAAGCATTGAACTGAGCTAAGCAGATTGACGAGCACTCACTAATATCGTCGCATGGACATGTTTTTGGCCACGACTCTCTGCATCTCCAAACGACTCCAAAGTTGTGAATCACGTCTTTCGTATTATGACTTCGTACTGAACAGTAGCAACTAAAAAGATTGAAAATGCTTGGTGAATCAGGTTGGCTGGTTTTTCAGATATGGAGTACATGCGGATCCGCAAAACCAGGAATTCGTTAGCATTGAAATTGATAATGGAAAGAACGAGTGCAAATAGGATGACTTTTATTCGTAAGTCAGGCGGAAAATGGACATGGGTATAGTTAGTTCTGAAGCGGAGCTCTCAATCGATACTCTTTGAACTGACTCATGGAGTTGTACATAGCGAAAATCTGACTATAAATTCCGGACAAAAGTGGACCTGAAACCTCTCGGATCTTATGTCAGCTTGAAATTCCTCGATTTCAAAAATCTGTTATGAAATATATTTCGTATCTCATGGTATTGTTTTTGGAATCAATTTCTACAGACCGCAGAATTTTTCGCATGGTCTAAGGACGTCACTGCAATTCTTTTAGAGACAGAAGTGATACGAGACATCTGCTATTATAATTTTTCGAGATCAACAAATCCGAACCTGAAATCAGTTAAGAAAACTCCAGAAATTTATTTTTGGCTCAAAAGTGTTCGTCCAGATTTAGCGATGTAAGACTCATCAGAAGACTTAGAGAACACTTGTCGAACGCTCCTCTCTTAAACGAGGTAAGTCCGTGATGAGTTTCTCTGTATCCCAAAATCGAAATTGAGCTCGGCGAATTCCAAACTTTGGGTTCGAGCTTGGTGGATCCTAGCCACGAACTTAGTTCTCTATACTTGGGAGAAGGAGGCGATCACATAGGAAAACATTCTCTGAATAATAGTTTTTACTATATCCTTTGCATCTAGGGGAATTCCTGTTGTTGAAAATCCGTCTATTCTTGTGCAAAATACCGCTTAGAAGTGCAAAATCGGTCCAATCAACCACGTTTCTTCTTAGGAATCTAATTCACATGACACTCGTCGTTATGTAATTGAATCATTTCGTCAACTTCCGTTCTCTGTAATCAAGAATGTCGAGATAAGGGCAATTGTGAACAACGTTTTCGAAGTTATTATACCGCTTCATTGTCCCATTTAATATACTTGATACCAACCTCTCCGCTAGTTTTTTAAAACTAAATCAAGACAACAAAACAGAGAAGTTTGTGGGCTACTCCATCAAATTTACAGGTAAGTCGCATGCCGCTATTGTCCATTAACCAGGATACTATTGTAGTAGGTTAAACTACATCAGTAATATTAGAGTTAAGATGAATAACTCCAACTTCTAACGGAGAATTATATGCCATTTCTATTCTAATGGTAGAACGACTGCCGAAATAGCTGGAGGTACATGGTTCAAGTTCCGCGAAAGAAGCATCTTTACATCCATTTTGTTTTCATTTTATCTCGCTGTTTAGTCTTGACGTGCTCTACAACATCGCGAGCTGACAAATACTGACGACGCTTTTCTTAACTTGCTTTTATTGAACTGAGAAATCAGACAGCTGTTCTCCTTATGTATTTGCTTCTTTTTTGTCATATTATCTAGATTCAGTAATAGCAAGGCCATCGTTGTTAGTTGCATAAAGCTAACAAAAGAGTCTACATTAATGAGACAAAATCAGGAACGAAAAATTACTTCATCGTCTAGACAATAAGTACGAAAAATACTGTTACGATTGCGCTAAATGTCTCGAGGTAGCTACATATGTACGCGTAAAAGACTGTTTTTCTTTCTTATTTTATTATAGTCATACGATGTTCAGATCGAATTTATTTTCAGCGTTGCACCGACGAGAGAAAGTGGCCATGACTACTCTATAGCGGTACTCAATATTGCCAATCATTCGCTACTTATACGAATATTAACCATTAAAATACCGAAATCATGTGAAGAATCTTCTAGCGATTCTTATCAGAGTAGGATATTAAGGTCGAAAATGAAATAAAAACCAGTTTGAGTCTTCATAAGTACCGATTCTTTTTGAATCTGAAGCCCATACAACATGGGAGCATGTACTTGGACAGAAATACACTACACAATGACCACCAAATAATTGACAATGTATGATTAAACAAACCGATTTTCGAACTTAACTGCTATCGGTCGCAGAAAACTACTGTAAGTTCGCGAAGGATTTATCTAGGTCCGTCGAGCTATTGTGTCTCCATTTTCACTATGAAAATCGAAAAGCCTCCAATATGCGTTCAGAGCGGAAGGATATCGAGTGTGACTAAATACTTGAGTTCCTTATCTCAGAGTGACTGCAATTTGAATGATGACCATTAGGTATTTCTCAGTTATTGGAGTCGTACCTTGTTAAATTTTGTGTTGTCGAAATCAACAGATCGTTGTTTCCTCCGATAGCTTCAACCAAATGTCCATCATTAACTTTATCGAAGCCATAGTTGTTCATGTAATGACTAAAGCCATAGATAATGCTAGGACGCACGACAAATAAAATACTGAGTAAAGAATACACTTGGCTAATGTCGTTAGATTTTCGAGTCAACAATAACCACATGACAGTTAAGTTACGATAGATTTCGAATCGAACAAGTTGATGCCTTTTGCTTTGATGAAAATGCGGCACCTTTTATAGAACAAGCAGCAATCTCACACTTATCAGCCTGGGATAGATAAGCAGCTGCTGATTTATTTCTTCAGTAGGCCATTCTGTTTATCAATGCTGTCTCATCTTCGAGTATTAGCTTGACGACACCTAGTTCTACTTTATGCTTTCCGTTCCTGTCAGATCGCAAGATTAAATTAGTTGAAGTATAATTAGTCATTATATACTATACAGAGAGTCTAAAAAGGATGGATATCATTGTAGTTAATGTCAGAAACTAGGGATGCATCAGTATCAGTATTACTGAAATATTGCCATCAATAATTCTGAGCGAGGACAACTCCAATACTGATGCAAACTTGTATCACCGATGCTCCTCGCTCAGAATTATTGATGGTAATATTTCAGTAATACTGATACTGGTGCATCCCTATTAGAAACGATTCACTACAAGATAAGCTTAGCTCATCTTTATAGAAAGTTCTAATGTTATTATTTCAATCATGGATTCCAACATTTCGCTTTTAAAGTTGCTGGACTGTGGAAAATCTTACACCTCGTTTTAAATATTGAAAGTGAAGTAGATATGGGCGAGTTCAATTTCGATTACTCACATCCTTTTGTAGAGGCCGGTGGAGAACTACAGGGCTATTTGTAGATTTTCTAAAGAACCATATGTAGCTATTCGTCCACAGTTAGAAACTGTTTTGCACGGTATGCACTCGAAATCACGATTTTCAATTTCTACAAGGTTGCTAAAAATGTTTTGCCAGGGAGGCACAGCTCCAACGACGAATGATATCAACATTGAATTTTATACCAAATGAAAGCCCGTCAAAAATGGAGTTTATCCATACCAATGAATAAGGGCTATAAAAAAAACCTTTTTCTCTATTGAACTTTGATAATTTCTACAAATGCATGAACCACAGTCATAGCAAAACTTTCTTTTATCATAGACAACTCAAACTACGTCTGATACAAAATTACTAAACATAGAGAGATTATCCTTACTTTTTATGGCTGAAGGAATGGTACAAAATAAAGGTAACTTTGCTAGATTCAGTATTTTTATATCTGACGTAGTTTGAGTTCTCTGGGATACGAGAAAGTTTTTCTATGACTGTGATTCATGTATTTCTAGAAATTATCAAAGTTCGATAGAGAAAAAGTTTTTATAGTCCTTATTCATTGGTATGGACAAACTCTATTTTTGACGGGCTTTCATTTGGTATAAAATTCAATGTTGATATCATTCGTCGTTGGAGCTGTATCTCCCTGGCAAAAACATTTTTAGCAACCCTGTATATTGATTCTCGAAAACCATATTATCTTGCTTGTTTTTCTATACTCTATCAGAATAGATTACTGGAAACAACAAATGCAAAATCAGCAGATCTAAGGTAAATGTTAACCAACGATCGCAAACACATACAAGGTGATTTAGTTTTCGACACTGACTCCAAATATGATAGTGCTTTGGGATCAACTAAAGCTTTTCCGGTCGAAATCAGCAAACTACTGTCCAAAAAAAGATGATAACACGAATAGCGACCATAACTAGCACCTGAAAATTCGGATGATTCTCTGTCTATCAGGCGAGGTTCAGACTATTCCTTGGACGTGATTCAGATATACAATTGTGCCATCAATAAATCTCACCCGATCCCAGCATGTAGCAGTCTGAGCTTGAGGTAATTTCATAATATTGCTTGGGTGTGAGTGTGGGTGTGTGGTTGTGGGTGTAGGTGTGGGTGTGGGTGGATGTCGTCGTGGTTGTAGGTGTGGGTGTGTGGATGTGTGGATGTGGGATGTGGGTGGGGCGGGGGTGTGGGAGTGAGTATTGGTGCAGATGAAGAGATACAATACACACCCACACCCACCCACACCCACACACTCACCCATACCTACACCCACAAACACAACGACACCCACATCCACAAACACAACGACACTCACAGTCACACTTCACTCACACTCACACACCCACACCCCAAGTAATCGACGGAAAGTAAATCCCAAATCACGAAAACAACGACTTGGAAAATTATTTTCATGTAATCAACGGTAAGTAAATCCTCACTAGCAAAAATTATATTTTTCTGTGAAAAAAATCAATTGAGACTGGAAATAATCAACGGAAAGTAGATCCGCGGAAAGTAATCGTGCATGCCAACAAATCTAACTAATGTTTATGAAATAACTCTAAAACTTCCAATGTTAAACTATTACACTGTGTTAACAGATCCTTCAAATTTATTAATTTCATTACCTGTGAATATTGATCAACAATTTAATTTTATTACACGTCTCGTCTTTGAAAATCATTGTAGTTTTAATAATATTTTGACAATTATCTCATATACACCACAACTTTACCGTCTAGATTATACAAATACAAACTCGCATGATAGGAATATTGAAATAAATTCGCCAATTAAATTAACAAATTTAAAATATGTTTTTGTACGTGTATCTAATACAATATTTGATATATTTGAAATGTTTCTTAGAAAAATTAATTCAAAATTAAAAGTTTTATCTTTTATTACTCGATATGAACATATTAATTATCTTGATGCTAATCGATGGAAGGAAATTATTTTAAAGTATTTATTTAGATTAAAAAAATTTTATCTACAATATTATGCAAGTTGTGAAAAAGATTCAGAAACTCGAATTTATCGTTGTAAACCAAATCAATTTATATCATCATTTTGGATTAAACGAAAATGGATATTTGAGATTCAACGAGATTTGAAAAATATCATATACTCAGTTCGACCATATAAGTATTATTTAAAAAATATTTTTTGTTTTTTCTAATAAGAAAATAAATTATTTTATTCTTCGTAGAAAACGATGGGATGAATATATTCAACATGAGATTGTCGATATTTCTTCAGATCTTTCTAAATCGACACAATTGACTTTTATGTATATAAATCCAAATGAATGGCGAGACATTATTGATGTATATATTAAACGTATTTTATCCGTAACACAAATTTATCATTTCATCATTTCTGTAGAAAAAATTTTTATTAGTGTCTTAATTGCAATCTTAGGTTCATTATCAAAACTTTATTCGTTAAAAATTCATTCTTTTTCTTTTGCTGATCCAGAAGGTATGAGTCATGAAGATTATAAGATTTTTTTCTCAACCAAATCTAAAAGTAAAATTATGAAAGTCTATCTTGAGAAACTTGATCATATTCGTGAGTTCTATTTTCTATGTGCAGTTTGTCCTCATTTGATATATCTTAAAGTTGACTGGATAAATGGTAAGCAGAATACGGTATCATTTCAACGTATTTCTTTCGAATAAGACAATTAAACTCGTGTTTATAATCTAGCTAAATCATTGTTGTGTTTTCTCTTGTAACGAAATTTTCAATAAAAGTTCATGAATTTCTTCAAATGTCTTCTTTTTTTTTTAAATATATACTTGCATAAACAATAGATTTTGATACCTTTTCATTGTAATGAATCTTAATAGTCATTTTTAATGTTGTTTGAGAGGCAGCCAATTAATCAAATATTTAAATATTTTAAGTGACTTGATTATCCATGAATTTTGACATATTTATTGGTCATTTCATTCGAATAATTTCAAAAGCCAGCATTATTATTAAATGAATGACAAAATCATTTGTCCGATCGTGGGTGTGTGGGTGTGGGGTGTCGATGAAGCTGTCAACGCCTAACATCATTGCCATCACGAGCACCCTCACCCTTACCACTCACACCCACACCCATACCCAAGTACGGCACATCAGTACAGCCTTTTTTCTTATCTTGTGATCGATGCATTTATATAACCATATCTCTTTCTCTATGTAACTACACTTGAAAAGACAAAGGCAACTTTGCTAAGTGGCAACAAGAAGATAAGCATAAGAGAAAACATGAAGGAAAAAGTGAAAAATACTTGCAAATAAATCATGAAGACATTTTCTCACTCCTTTCATATCTATAATATTCATTTTGTCAACGATACAATTACACTAAGACGCGAAGCGTTACAGAAGAAAACCACCAACATTTTCTAATTCCAGCAGTGGGGCGAAGCCCACAACAAAATTGAGCTCATCCGAAGGAGCAGCAATCAAATCATCATCATCTGAAAAGCGTTCGACTACTTCGAGTACTTCCACTGCAAGTGTACGAAAAGCATCGGTTGACACCACGATGGATGCAGGTGATAGTAAACCGATCAACAAACATACCACCTCTAGTCACCAATCAGCAGGAGCCACTTCTGCTAGTTCTTCTGAAGGTGAGAAGAATGAATGATAAAAGTGCAGCTCGCTTTTCTCTATCCTAGCAAAAAAGATTCTAAGCAATCTAGAACGAAACAAATATGATGACCATTCATACTCACTAAGATATTAGAACGTTACATAATATGAGTCATTTACAAGAGGTAATATGCTTTCGAATCAATTTAGCATTTGCTCAATGTTCTCGATATTAAGGAGCAATTTTGAAAATAATTTTAGGTCGATAAATTGAGTCTACGAAGAGCTAGCTCAAGATTCACAGTCAATCTTTAAGGTTTCATATGTCCCAGATTCTTCTAGCATTTCAAATGTTATTTTATTTTTAATAAAACTCCTCTCTTGAAAGATAAGAACATTCTGGGTTGTAACTGCAGAACTATGGGTTTTTTTAATAAACCTTCATGGGGCATTAGAAAAAATTCGATTCAACATAGGCGTAGGACTAATGTTCACCTTCATTTTGACACTGAATTTAGCTTTCTAGCATTTGAAACAGAGAAGAGGTCTGGACTGTAGGGAAAAATTAAAATTAAAAAACCTCATTTGAGAAAATGTTAAAAGCCTACGTTATTTTTTCTCTATGAAAAATCCAGAAAGCTTCACATAATATCCTTATGTCTCATCATAAGATTAATCAACTATAGAGCATTCGAAAGTAGACACTTCTCTGTATCTAACGAACTTTAAATTAAAAAATCAAAAAATTTTCTCTATATGAGAAGCTTTTTTCAGGAGCTCTTAAGGATAACAATTTTCTTCAACAAATTCTGATGAGTTTCGGTAACTTATTCAAGGACTAGTGAGTAAATCGTAAAGACCTATATTACTGCTGTTGTATAATATTCAAAACACGTCTTGAAGATCACCATATTATATTATTACTCATGATTTCTATTTCTAGCCAGTACTTTCACATCAGCTCAAGTTCCAGGAAGAGACTCTGCAACATCATAATACACTCAGAGCTCGTCATTCGACTACTCGTCTCCAACTCGATAAAAATCTCTGCAAAATAGCTCAAAATTATGCTGAATATCTTGCTGTTAAAAACAAAATGAAACATTGAAAAAAAGGCTATGGAGAAAATCTGTTTAGGATAAGTAGTTCAGTACCATTAACTAGTATACATGGTTAGTAATGTATTTTTTCTAGTTTGAGTTTTCCTTCTCAATATGATTCTAACTTAGAACGCGATGCCACGCAATCATGGTACGATGAAATCAAAGATTACAATTACTATAAACCTGGCTTTAAGAAAGGTATTGGTCATTTTACACAAGTCGTATGGAAAGAATCGACTCATCTCGGTGTTGGCATCGCCTTTGGCAACCAAGGACGCAGCGCATTTGTAGTAGCTAATTATTCTCTACCTGGCAATTACCAAGGACAATTTCCCATAAATGTTTTGCGACCATCGCATTAACTTCGCATACCACGAAGTAACACTTGAAGACTTCGGAGTGCGAGAGATGATGTCTATCTTGACTTTTGTGTTGTTGTCAGGTGCTAGATGCTTTACAAGTATGGATGTGAGTGCACTTCTCTTATTTTCCAACGTCAACACGCTCGTCTGCAGGAACAAGAAGATCGACCAATACCGTAAAAGTTCCTTTTATAAATTGAGATGTCTTCCAACCGTGCTAAATAATAATTTCAAATCAGAAAAGTTCACAACTTATCAAGTCTTGCAAACAAATCAAATCGATGTTGGAAAAAGTCACTCAAGGCATAGTACACATGTTATTCAATATTGGTTGCGTGTCTGGGTGCGGGTGTGGATGCAGGGTGGGTGCGAGTGTGGGTGCAGTTGGGTGTGGGAGCAGGTGTGAGTGTGGATGTGGGTGTGGGTGTGGGTGTGGGTGTGGGTGTCGGTGTGGGTGTGGGTGTGGGTGGACGTAGCTCTGATTCCACACCCAAACCCACACCACCCACACCCACACCCACACCCACACCAAATTACTCATCTGTTTTGCTGTATATTAAGAACTAGAGACAAAAAAGAATCACACAAGTCCGATTAGATTTGATTTGGTTCAGATTATGTTTGAAAAAAGGTACGCGTAGGTGTGGGTGTGATTTGGAAGTGAAAGTCAATCTTCTATCACCCACATCCACCCTTAAATTATTTTTTTTAATTTATTTCTTTTTAAAATTACTTGTGTAAGTGCCATGGCCAGTGGATTTCTTATATTCGTAAAAAGCTTATCTTAACAAAGTAGTGGAATATACTTTCGTATAAAAAATGGCCAAGGGATATCAATTTATTCTTATATTTTAGTTTACGGATTCATGGAATAAAAAAATTATCTTTGTCATAATTAACATTTTAAAATACCGATTCTAAAAAATATTTTTATATTTAAAGAGAGATATGAATAACAATAATTTTTATGTAAAATAAATTAATTTTGTGATGATTTAAATTATAAATAAAGTTAGTTAGAAATAAGTTTTATTTAAAAATATGAACTGCTATCATTCAAAGTTATTTTTAAATGTAAATTATCAAAAAAAATTTTTTTTATCTATTTATTTTAAATTAACAGCAAAATGACATCCCTAGCTGTTACTCGTAGTAAAATTTATGTTAACAAAGTTTTGTCGAAATATACCTAGAAAATTCAACAACAGCAGATATACGTAAGTTTAGTATAATTGTATATTCCGTGCCTCCAAAATACAAGTTCATCTGATCGAATCTGCTCTACGGTAATAAAAAGCGAGTTGGAACGCGCTGAGTAAGCACGAAGGTATATCGATGAACAAAATCGTTCTCAGAGAACGTTAACAAATACTGAACAGACTCGTTCTATAAACATCAAGTCTTGAAAAAAAAGTTTATTTTTGTATTTTTTTTTCATGGGAACCATCTTTATTGATTAGAAGAAAATCGCGGAATAATCGCGATTTTTTTTGAAGAAATCGGGAAAAAAATCGCCAGAAATCCCATAATGTGACGATTTTATCGCGATATAATCTCACAATTAATCTGCATGATAAATCGTCGATTTTTGCGCGATTTTTATCATATGGGCGGGATCCCGGCATTTTTCGTGGGATTGCCGGGATCTCGCGGGATCCCGATATTTTTTGAGCGGGATCCCGCACAGGATCCCGGACGGGATCTCGACGGGAAATTGCCGGGATGAAAGACATGGGATATTCATTTTATATTTTTTTTCGTGCTTCTCTTTCCATGGCTGATCGTTCTCGTAGTGAATGTGGATGATGAGATGCTTTACAAGTAACCAACGAAATGTCGTGTAATGTTTTGATTCTTTTTATATAAAGTCTTATATTAGTCACCTGCAACCATCCTTACCTAAAAGTAACCGAAACTGACGCTAATTTTTATTGATTTGATTGAAAAATTGCATCATCATATCAATGTGAATTTATTTGTTTAGCTTATGTATTCGAACGACGAACAGAAGTGCGATCGTCCATTCTGCTTTCGTTCGGCATCAATTAGAATGAAGATAAAAACAGTAAAATAGAGCTAGTAATTTATTTACGAGAGGCAGTCAAATGATGTGTCTGACTGCTCATAGTCGTACTTATCACTGTGATATGTGTGTAGGTGTAAATAATTGAATTCAAGTTTCAAGCTTGACATATATGTATATTAAAAAAAAATAGAAAGTCATATGAATAAATTTAAATGAAGTTTTTAAACAGTTGGATAGCTGGGCAATGTAGCAATACCACATTGGTTGTTCTTGTTACGGCTCATCCAGATATAACCTTGGTTACCCCATGATAAACCCCATGAATTTTTGACAATATAATAATCTTGTCCATTTACACTGTCATAACCAACAGCTAAAACACCATGATCAAGTTGTAGCGGTGAGCATGCTGGTTCATTGTAGACACCTGATCGATAAAGTTGAAATGATGTGTGTGCAGCATCAATAGCGACTGAAACTGGACCAACTGTGGCGATTGCATCTTGTAAATCATCTTCACTGTATTGTTTAATGTCCTTACAGCCCTATAGAAAGAAAAGCCAAATTATCATTATGCGAGCAAAGAAAAAGAAAAATACTTACCGTATCTGTGGCACCAACGTTTTTGGTATTGAATCGACATGTATCATCCCGTGCTTCATATGGATAGGTTGATTCGGTATCAATACCATTGTTTTCTTTGATGTACTTGAAGGCGTTATCCATTAAACCACCACGGCATCCGAAATTACCATATTTGCTTGAGCAATCAACTAAGTTTTGTTCAGAGAGTGAAACAAGTTGTTTTGTTTTGGCAAAGTTTTGTCCTTCGAGTGCACCAGTAGTTGAAAAAGCCCAGCATGAACCACATTGACCTTGATCTTTAACCCCTGTTACGTAGCCTTTTGTACGCCAATCTATTTAATTCAAAAAACTTTATACAAATCATATAATCTTCTTCAATACATACCAACAGCATTTGGTCTTTTGAAGTTGGATGGAGCAACGTATTGATCACAAGTACCAGAAAAGCTGACATTTAAACTAAGATCGAGACCATTCATTTGCTTGACGAATTCTTTGAGGGTCTACAAATATCGATATAAAGATTTGATTATAATTCATTGAAAACATACCATGTCACCATACTTGTTCATTCCTAATGTATAAGTATGTAAACCGAGGTCAGCTTCAAGATTGTGTTTGTTAATATAAGCAATATGCGCTTCCCAGATTGATCGACTAGAAATAAAGACGATTATTAAAAATAACGAAGAAAAAAAACTTTTTTTCTCTCTTACCGGGTTATTTCCTCTGCATTTGATGCATATTGCTTTTCATAGGTACGCTTGTATAAAGCCCATGCTGAATCTAATCTTGTATCAAATGTTGGTATGGCGTACGCACAGACGAAAAGAAAACAGAGACCAATGAAAGCTTTCATTGTAAATGTTGAGCTTGTTTGTTGAAGGACAACAGTGAAGAATAGCGAATTTTACACTGGTATATATGGTAGTTAGTTTTTTGTTATGTCAGCGTTCTTCAAAGATACGAACGCTCAAATAAACAATGTTGTTATCAACATTCGTTCTTTTTTGCTTTCTTTTTATTAACAAAATATGACAATGCAAAGAATAACTGACTTAATTGTGTTTAACGTTTGTTCTTATTTTACAAGATAAGTCAAGCTATGATAACAATTTTTTTGCAAGATCATTCTAAACTTCGCTTAAAAATTTGTTTGTCATGTGCGCATGACTTGCACAGATTTTATTCTAATAAACCGAAGATTACAAATAAAACATTGATCAACGTTTTTGTAAAATTTTTTTATTTCATTTATTTAAAGAAGTGATTATTTTCAATGCAAAAGAGAAATGTCTGGGTATATCCATGAGAAGCGTGCCACGTTTACATCGACTTTCTCCAAATTTGCTGAAACTTTCAGGATTTGTAGAGCTCGATGAGCTGATCGTTTTGGTAGTAAAATATTAAGGGTTTGAATATGTTATCAGGTCAAAATACATTTTCAAGACTTTTGAAAATATCATCGTCGAAATAGAGGCTTGCACTTTGCGAAAACATTTTCTCTTTCATTACTCAATCAAAACTAAACATTCTATATATATTTGGATAGCTCGCGATAAACTCTATCTAACCATATATGAACCAAGTAGTTCAGGATCCTAAATGAAACTTTCCACGGACCAGAATTATTTGACAGTAACGTAAACTTTCGCTCTTAATAAAAAATCTCTTCCGAATTTGGGTGAGTGGCGGTACTTCAGGTTTTGTAGAGCGTCGCTTGCTCTATCTCCTGGTATATAGAACATCTCAGTCGTTTTTGGGTGTGGATGTGGGTGTGGGTGTCGATATGCTATTCTTCATCACCCACATCCACCCACACCCTAATTCGCTGAAACAGTTAAAGAGATAATCACGTTTCCTTTTCGACCGGACTTTTCGAACACTGTATAAATAAAAAATCAAGACTTGAAAAGATTGAAGTTAATAGATTAAATTTGGATGTGATTCAATAGTTTTCGTTTTTCTGTACTAATACAGAAGCATGAGATTAGTACCAATATCTATCTTTTTTCATAGTTATTTTTCTCATTTGTCTAAGTTTTAATATTGACAAGAAAATATTTTGAAAAACGAGCCATTTTCTTAGAGAATATGATAAAAATAAGTAGTTTTTGACTATGAAAATACAGTTCATGCAAAAAGTAAACGAATTCTTGAATAAATGAAATTCTAAAAGAAGAGTGTTTTGTAGAAAATAGATTGCACGCATTAATCAAAGAAATTTGTAAATGGAAATATTTTTGCTTCCTAGCTAATTTCTATATTTTAAGTACAAAAAAATTCATTTTCAGTGAAATACTATATGAATACAGTTTTCACGAATATTCTTATGCTTTGAACTCTTTTAAGACATGTCTTTAGTATCCGTCTAGTTTCTATAAAATAAATGTTGCAAGATATTTAAACAATCATTATATTTTTCTTTTCAGGATGAACATGTAAATGAAGAATAAAAGAAAATTACACGAATATCATACAGAACAATTATGGATGAATGTCCATTAACATTTGACGGAGCATATGGTCTTACTCAAGCCAATCATTCTATTGAATTTTGTCAATATGAAAAAGTTTGTGAAATCCGATTTTATGATCATTTCACTAAAAAGCATAAATTAAAAGACGTTTGTGTTAAACGTTTAATAGAAACTGTTGTTGATAATCTCGATCCTAGAGCAACAAAATTATTTAATGAAAATGAAAATATAATTGATTATTTTAGGAAAGTTCCTTGTCCTTTTATAAACGAACCATTTGACTTCTAACAATATAGTCTAAAATCTTTAACAAACATACCCTGTTCACATACGTTAGTTCCACTTGAATGTTTATACACTCATTTATAACGTCATCATTACGTCTGTAAGGGACTTGCAAAAAAATTGGTTAACGTTTTTAGAGTGGTTCAATCACAATATAATACTACAACGTCTTGATTTATTTCATCAACATGAATTATCAAAAGAACAAAGTCTTTAAATTGTTTTTCATTGCTGTTTGTCTCATTGTATTGTTTTTTTGCTTATGTAAATAAACCATTCAGTAATTTGAAACTTATTTAAATGTTCTTGGTAGAACTAACAAGAAAATAGAACGAACTGATCAATCGCTTTTTAGTTGAAATAACGTGTATAATTTTGATATACATGAGCTATGAATATCACGAAAAAGTTCAGTCCGCTAGTCCATTATTATGAAAATACTGCCTACTTTTAAAATGAGCGCCATGAGAAACATCATAAAAACTGATTTGCAAGAAACAAATCTTACTGAGCACAGACTTTTTTGATGTTTTTATCAATAATTGCAACTATGATAACTTCGTTCGGATGTGCTAGACAATTTGATATTCTTATTTGAGAATAATCTGAAACCTTCACAAAGCCCTATACTCAGTAAGATGGGGTGGGTGTGGGTGTGTGAGTGGCTGTGGGTGGGTGTGGGTGGGTGTGGGTGGGTGGGGTGGGTGTGTGGGTGGGTGTGGGTGTGGGTGTGGGTGAGAGGGAGGTGTGGCAGTGGCTGTGGGTATGTAGGTTTGGGTGTGACTGCGGTGGGTGTGGGTCTGGATGTAGGTCTGGGTGGGGTGGGTATGGGCCTGGATGTGGGTCTAGGTGGAGTGGGAGTGGGTATGGGTGTGGATGTGGATGTAGGTGTGGGTATGAGTGTGGAATGTGGATGTCCGACGCGAAAGAAGACGAACGCCAACATTCACACCGCACCCCATCCATATCCACATCCCACCCCCATCCATACCCACCCCGACACTCACACCCTGCACCCACAGCCACAGCCACACCCACACCCACCGACACCCACACACCCACACCCACCCACACCCACACCCACACCCACACCCACACCCCACACCCACACCCACACCCGCAAGCCACGAGTCGGAACTCGACTGGCACACCACGTAAGTGAATATAAAAAAAACGTTATAGATGAACAGTCTATGTTCATGCAGATTGTAGAAAGGCACGGAGAAGAAAAAGAAAGAGATGAACGGCTTGTCCACGTAACGGTATACCTTGGTGGGCGAAGTCGACCTACCAAATTGATCGAAATCAATATGATCATCATATAGAGCGATGTCGATAACATACAGAAATATATCTTTTATTTACCTGGTTACGATATTTCTTTAAAAAATACATGCTACAAATGATATGTGTCGTAATAGCACTAAAGGCGAATATTTATGATAGATTTTTATTTTAGAATTTTTTATATAAACAAACATATCTTGTCCGAAACCTTTCATACCAACTAGTAATGCTTTCTATGCATTACTCATTTATAACGAGAAGACTACGTTTCGTCACATCTACAGCAGAATTATTTATGTTTGTAAAGGTAATACATTGGTGAAAGTGATTCCGTAACGAAAATTCCTTTTAATTCATTTTTAGCCAAGAACACTAAGTTTTTCGTTCTAAAAAGCAGTGCTCTAAATACAATCTTTAGTGCTCTATCCAACCAATGGATTGCCTGTTTTTATAAACATTCTAGTTGTGCAAGCAGGCCGTTACGGAATCACCCTCAAATGATCAAGTTTTCTACATAAAATTTGAAAACATTAACTTTCTCTGAAGTTATGCACTAATGAGACGTCAAGATGTGTACACGTGATTGTAGAGTCCGATTAGTTAATTTAGGAGTTGTGCTATGGTAGTTTTCAGCTAAATTTATTACGTGGATTCAAGAAGCCATTTGAGAGGCATTGTGCATAAGTGATGACCATTCCCCAGCAGAATCTTGCTTGGTCAATGTCACCGATTGGGCCGATATTTTCACAGTAAGTAGGTCTAGTAAACTTGGCAAGAAACTAAAAATTTCATTTCAAATGAGAGAGTCATTATGGAGATATTGAAATTAAATTGGAGATATTTTGACATGTATGTAGTGTTTTTCTAGAGAATGCTTTTCAATAAACTTTGATCTCCTATAAAAACAATAAGACCTATAATGAGAATTTCTTTAGAACAGATACTTTCGATCATTAGATATTATGCCATATAGTTCTGACTCACAAGTGATCTACCACCAAGAAACATTCTCTTTTAAATATGTGTGAAAAATTAGATGAATCGAATATCACTTTATCAGATTTGGAAAAGTACATCGGCTTTCATGTGTCACAATAATGTCGAAATGAGTCGAAATTTGGACTGTGGAAGTTTATCGAGATGCCGGTTCATCTGAATCACATCAATCTAGCATCTGGGAATAAATCGTTAATCTATACTATTAGAGTCATTTGTGTTCTTAGTCTTGTTCAAAAAAACTTTGTATATCGAACTGGACATGCCTTCTATAAATGGCATATGGCATCTATCAAAAAATATTAGTTGATACGATCCTTTCAATACCATAAAATGATAGGATATGGTCCGTAGTACCTATGATAAAAAATCTGTATTATAACTGTTGTTGTTATTTAGAAAACCAAAGTTTACTGGAAAGTATTGCTCTGAAAATCACTATAAATGTGTCTAAGTATCTCTAATTGTGACGTCTACATCTCTATAATGACTCACTCGTTTAGGGTGAAATTTGTAGTTTCTTTCTATGTTTACTAAGTCTACCTACTATGAGAATATCAATCAGACTGATGACGTCGAATGAGTAAACTTTTACTAGAATTGGCTGTGCCTAGGATGCAATACTTCTATAAATGTCAATATTTTATATATAACTGACCCTTTCGAAAAGACCTTTTACTTTATGAGAAAGATGAACTTTTCAAATTGCTTTTTCATGCATGACATCAGATTGTTTATTCTGTGGAACTATCTTTATATTTCTGAAGAAAACAAATGTTGAAAAACATCATCATTTCTCAAACGTGATTCCGTAACGAAAAATGTGATTCCGTAACGACACCTTTTTCTACCCAGAAAATTAGCGATACGTATTTTGTAAATTATATTTGTTTTTCTATATAACTAGGCTTCTGAGCTACAATTGTCATAGAGAGAGTTTTGCTCCTGCGTTTATAGTTGAGCTAAGTTTTTTAATTCTTTGAGCGGCACTCAAAATCAGAGTCCATTTTGTGTGATTCCGTAACGTACATATCTGTCAATCATAAAACCAGCATTAAAACTTGAAATCTTATGAAACTTTCAGCATGTGTAGGGGAAGTCAACTTACATAGTCTATGAACATTTCCAGCCCTATACTATTTCATTTCGTCCAGATATTGTAAAAACATGCGAAAAAAACGTGATTCCGTAACGCTTGGACAAGCCGTGAAGCTGTTTTTTTTCTTGCTTACAACTTAGCCCAGACGTATGACAGGTCATATGAGAAAAGAAAAATTCTTTGTTCGATTAATAAGAGAGAGAAACGGAAAAAAAGCAAGAAGAGAATCAATGTTTTTTTTTCTTTTTCTTCTCGTTCTGTTCGACCAATAGAAAAAAAATTCTTTCGACAGGTCATCTCACTCTCTTCCGACCGTGTACGTTTTGCAAATATATATATATATATAGACAGTAATTTTGTGTGTTTCTTAAGCATGTGTCGTGAAGAATTGAAGGTCAGGACTATAGATAGTATAGACAAACGAATTTTTACTCATCTAAAATATTTTTTTCTGTTTTTATAGAAGTCTCCATCACCAATTCCAGCTGCACTCCAAGTGCCACAATACCCACCTGGTCTACCATCTACAATTGATGATTGTCTGGCGTTACTCGAGGGTGTGATGGCCTATTCCACACCCTCATTCCCACAGATACAACGAATGATGGCCATCATTAATGGCGCTGCTGCTGCTCCTGCTGCTGCTCCTACTTCTGCTAATGCTGCTAATGCTGCTGCCGCTGTTGCTAATGCTGCTGCCGCTGTTGCTGCTCCTCCTGCTCCTGGTTCTACTGCTTCTGCTTCTGCTTCTTCTGCTCCTGGTTCTACTGCTTCTGCTTCTTCT